AAAACATAAAAGATTCTTAAATATGAAGAACAAACAGAGGATTACTAGAGGGTTTGTGGCGGGGGGATGGGCTAACTGAGTAAGGGGCATTAAGAAATCTATTTCTGAAATCACTGTTGCACTATATACTAACTTCGATGTAAATTAAAAATAAATAAATAAAAATTAAAACAAAACAAAGCAAAACAAATAGACTCTAAATTACAGAGAACAAACTAATAGTTACTAGAGGGGAAGGGATGGAGGGGTGGGTTATTTAGTTGTTGGGGATTAAGTAGTGCACTTGTCATGATGGACACTGGGTTGTGTATATAGAATTGTTGAATCACTCTATTGTACACTTGAAACTAATATAATACTGTATTTTAACTAAACGGAATTCGAGGAATAAAAAAAATGAAAAAAAAACTTTAAAAAATAAAAGAAAAGAAAATGTTTGGCCATTAAATTGGAGTTTCAAATAATACCAGCAAAAGCTTGTTATTGTGTTAGCTAAAAAAAGCATATAACATACCTAACTTACTATGTCAACTATATAAAATCAGTATAATTAAAGACTATATAATTAAAGTCTATATTTTATCTAGACTGAACACTTTGTTGAACAATTATGTGGCATATCCTGATTGTTGTCCATTCAACGCCATTTATTCAGGCTAGCAAACTGCTTAGTCTCTCCACAAACAGGAGTGGTTTCTTGGACCTCCAGGGCATCTCTTTAAGGGGATTGACTCAGCTGGGAGGAACACTGCCCTACCTCTCTGTCCTCTTCCTCCTGTAACTTCTACCAGCCATCACATGATCTTGAGGTTTGAAGGCATGGGCTAAAGATGGCAGAGCAGAAAGATGAAAAATCTGGATCTCCCTCAACTCTGGGGAGAGTCACAGTAGCACTGGGATGCCTGTCTTCTTTTATATAAGAGAATAAACTCCTAGTTTGAGCCACTGGATTGAGTTTGTTTCTAGTAGCTGAGCATTGTTCCCAACTAACACAGGATTAAACATTTCAGGCAACAAGCTTGAAAACTTAGATGCCTCTTACTTAAAAAAATCTTTCAAATTATGGTGCACCTCGCTGGCTCAGTCGGTAAAGCATGCCATTCTTGATCTCGGGGCTGGGAGTTAGGCCTCATATTGGGCCTAAAGCCTACTGAAAGTTAAAAAAGAAAAAAGTCTTTCAAATTGTTCCTCATTGCTTTCAGAAGTGTCCAAATGCTATGATATGCTAAGGCCTTCTGATTAGTCCCATGTCTACTTCTCCACTCTTAAGTCTCACTACATCCTCATACTGAAATTTACTTAGGTTTCCTGAATGCACCAAGTTTTCATGTCTTTACATTTTTTGTACATGCTGCTACTTTCTGCATAAAACTATGGTTCTCTCAAAGTGTGGTTCCCCAACTAAGCATCAGCATCACCGAGAAACTTGTTAGAAATACAAATTGTTGGCCCCCACCTCAGACCTTAAGAATGAGAATCTCTGGGAGGGGGGCCCAGGAATCTGTGTTTTAACAAGTCTTCCAGGTGTTTCTGATCCACAGCTAAAGTTTGACAACGACTGGCTTGAAACACCTTCCACTCTTTTCCCACCTAGCTAAATCCCACTCACCTTTGGGACACCTTCCCTACTATCCTAACTCTACCACTCCCAGATCTAAATTAACTGAAACTTTGGGGCACCTGGGTGGCTCATTCAGTTGGGCATCTGACTCTTGATTTTAGCTCAGGTCATGATCTCATGGTTTGTGGGTAGAAGCCCTGCACTGGGGTCTGTGCTAACAGTGCAAACCTGCTTAGGTTCTCTCTCTCCCTCTCTCTCTGCCCCTTCCACACACACAAGCTCTTGCTTTCTCAAAATAAATAAATAAACTTAAAAAAAATTAACTGAACCGTTTGTGTTTCCATGGCATCTTGTGTTTCCCTCTATCAGAAGAGGATATCATACTGCATTATAGCTTTCTGCTTGCTTATCTGTCTCCTTACTAGACTCAGTTTTTTGAGGACAGTGACCATGTAACCCTTATCTATATCCCTGGTATCTGTCATAGTACCTGCAATAAATCAATAAAATATTATCAATATCAAAATAAATCAATAAAATAAACTATCAATAAAATATTACTGAGGGATGCCTGGCTAGGTTAGCTGGAAGAGCACGCAACTCTCGCTCTCGTGGTCATGAGTAGAAGCCCCATGTTAGGTATGCAGCCTACTTAAAATAAATTTAAAAAGCAAAATTAACAAAAAAAACACAAATGATTATTGAATGAGTTACTATACTGCAAAAGTCTGGTATAGTCCCACCCTAGTCCACAAAGGTCTATTTTAACTTACAACATGGCTTAAGAATAACACTAATCTCTCAAATGTCACGTATACAAGCTTCAATTGTGAACTTGAAACTTCTTTCAGGGAAACAACTATCCTAGCAAGTCAATATTCTAGCTGAATAAAAACTATATATTGGACTTTCAAGGTGAACACATGTAGGAACTAAGAGGGTGGTATACCCATAGAGGGCATGGAAATTCTGAGTCCCTTCCCACATAATTTTGCCAATGCATCTCTTCTATTTGGCTGTTCCTGAGTTGCAACCCTTAAAATGAACAGAATTGAAGCTGGGAGATATAGAGGCTACCTTGTAACCATGATGATGACAGATGATCACTGAGGTGGCAAAAGCACAAGGCACCTGGTCCCTCCTGGCATCTTTGAGTCACTGCACTATTCCTCAGCAGCCTATCTCTACACTTGTTTTTGCATGAGAAAAATTAATTTGTGAATTTGTCTGTTGAAGCCAAAAGTAAATCTACCTTTGTCTTTGTGAATTTGTCTGTTGAAGCCAAAAGGAATTCTATCGAATCGAGTGATGATTTTTAATTTCAAGACACATATGGAAAGAAATTAAAAAGTACCCAATGAAAAAAGAATCTACACATTGAAAATTTTCACTATCATGTAAACAAAAGTATAGAAGTGGGGACAAGCCAGCATATATAGCCATGTTTTCTGTCGGGGAAAATAGCATTCTAATCTTCCTCCTACCTCTTTCCTAGAATAGGAATGACTCCCTCCCAGTTGCTAATGAAGCCCAGAGCCATCACCCAAACTTAGCTATTAATCTCTTAAAAAGCAGAAGATGATGAGAAATAAAATGAGACCTTTCTTCAGGACAACAATCTTGTTAGGGTCCACATGCTGGAGTACTCCCTCAAAGATGCCACAAACCAATGTGAGTTTCACCCTTCTCCACAAAATCTGATTGAGGAAATGGTAGTCGCTGCTGGGATCCATGCTATTTGATGGAAAGGCAGTCTTCAAACAATCTTCTTAAGTGTCCAACCACTTGAAAATAAAAGAGATCTATGATTTTAAAAATATTTTGGGGGGAATGAGGTTATTTTCCCTTTTCTCATACCTGGAAGGAACAAGAAAAATAAAAACACGAGAGTAATTCAGTTTTGCTCACTCATCTTTTTAGAATAATGGGGAAAGGACCATTGCAAGCACCAACTCTAATTTATACATGGGAAATTGAAAACCATAAAACTTCAGGCAAGGTTTGGGTTCTTGGTCTATATGAGGTAATACTACCTTTCATTGCTTAGCTAAATGGAACAAGCAGAACATTTAGAGGCTTTTAAATGGCATATACATTTATCTTTTTAACACCAACCAACCAACAAACCAAAAACTCTTAAAGAGCAAATGGAAAAAAACCAAAAAACTGATATTGGCAAAATACTTGCCAATACATGCTGCCATAACTGCTCACCCAGAAATCTCTGGGATCTAATTTCTCCTGGTCTCTTCTACATTAGTAACATTTCCAGAATTTGGCAGTTTTACTAACTAAACCGTTAGAACTATTACAATTTTATGCATGACCAATCCAGCTGCCATGTCAGAGCAGTTGAAGAGAGACAACACTAGATCAGACAAGAGCAAGTCAACCATGGAAACTACCCACTGAGACTAGAACCTTGGCCTCATGCTAAGTCGTCAAAACCTTAGGTAAAGCTTAAAAGTAGTGTAGATACTAAGTGACAGTGGTCAGAATTTAGTTCTTCCGCATCTCAAAGGGGTTCTGTACAAAGCAACACTCAAAGGGTGGGGAGGGGGTGAAAAGGCATTGAAGCCACAGGAAAAGAACTGGTTCACCGGAGAGGGTGTACTAATTTAACGGATGGCTTAAACATTTTCCAGAAAATAATGTCATAAAAATAAAATGCAAAATTCCTCATTGTTAAGGCAAAATAAAGAACTTCAAGTAAATGGCGGACCATACGCTGAGAATTTAATCTCGCCCGCCGATAGATTTTCTCCCCCGAAGGGAAGTTTGGGAAATCCTGTCCCAATTTCACGCAAATGGTGACTCCCTCGAGCTTCATTCAGTCTTGAGCTAAAAAAGAATGGGCTGCTTTTACGTAAGAACTCTTGGAGAGTTTTACGCTGGCGTTGGCGGTTACCAAAAGACAGTGCCGAAAACAAACCGAAAAACGCGGCGCCGAACACCCACACCGAGGACCAGACGCCAGCGGGACGCAACCAGGGGTGCCTGCTGTTTCCCAAGGAGCCAACCGGCACGCAGCCCTGAAGCTGACTCCCGAACGTCCCCAGCGGCCAGGAGGTGAGAGGGCCTCCAGAAAAAAGGAGGTGCAACTCCCAGCATGCAGTTCTCAAGAGACACACCCTAGCGTTGCCCCAGGAGACGTTTTGTCTATATTTTTGTTTCTCTCTGCAGTCCCTGCCACCTATGGGTGGGATTTCCACTTTTTGAGTTCTGCGAGAAACGGGTTGCCTACGCTGCCTGCTTCAGGTTAGCTTGTTGTAAAACTGTGGGTCGATGACGTTGCCCTTTTAATTGCGGTCGCTAGAGCCAGAGTGGCATTGCCTTTTTAAGGCCGGTAGCATCATGCTTCCGGGGGCGTGGTCTGCGCTTAGGAATACCCGGCCCTGCGCTGGGCTGATTCATTCCGGGGCTGGAGCTAAAAGCGTCAACGTCGACTTCTGCGCAGGGTGCAGGCTCGCTCCTAATTGGTTGGTCCTCGGACCGCCCTCCTCCGCTCGCCACCTCTGGGTTCCCTCCCTGGTCCGCAGTAAGAACACTGCCCTCTTGTCTCTTGACCCTTGGGCCTCTCTCCCTTCCCTCCCTCTTTCCCGTCGCCGCTGTCGCTTCAGGCGCCCCTGCTCCCGGAGCAGCTTCCGGCTCGGTGATGGGGTCTCGGGCTTCCACGTTATTGCGGGACGAAGAGCTCGAGGAGATCAAGAAGGAGACTGGCTGTGAGTTCGGGTAGGGGGTGGGAACGTGGCCGGGCGCCTCTGGCTGGTCTCAGAACCGAGGACGGCTGTCGTTGAGGTCTGGAGCTGGGGTGCCCAGAGATTGCCGGGGTCCTGGGCAGCCTCCAGCTCTGGAGCTCTGTGGCCGAGGGATAGAGCCGTGGGCTCAGGCTCCTGTGGGGCTGTCCTTTTCCCTCAAGACGGGAGTCCCCATCATCCTCAGAGCACAGGCACCGCTCTTTTCTCTTCTTCCTGCTCATGAAAGCGCCCCCCGCCCCCAACTCCTTTGCTTTATCCTACATTGCACCAACCTCGAATTCAGGAGCCCTGGATGGATCTTGTAGAAAACATACTCCGTTCCTGTGACGGTTCTGGGCAAGCACTTAAAACCACTGTCGACTATGAGAAATCACAAATAAATTCTTTCCACAACTGTAAAAATAAGTTTAGAAAGCAAGATCATATAGCAAGGCTTTGGAAGACGTGACCTAGTGACAGGAGACCTTTAAAGAATCAGGGATCTGAGAGTGTGAGACTTCTTTCATTCTGGACCTGTGGGGAAAAAAGCACGGATACTGTGACCATCAGTTTTTGCTTACACTGAAGACGTTTGTTGTTCTAATTTCAGATATATTGATTTCTACTACGCTGGTGTACTTTATGCATTTGCTATGGAAATTGGATGTGCTCCAAAATCTCAGTGTAAATTTGTACTAGGAACTGATTTTTTATAGTCCAGTCTCTTCCTCATTAACCAGAACATAGGGTCAACAGGGCTTTGGGGATTCAGAAGCTCTGCGTAACACCATCACATTTTTTTTTTTTTAATGTTTATTTATTTATTTAGAGAGAGAGAAAAAAAGAGAGAATCCCAAGCAGGCTCCTCATTGCCAGTGTAGAGCCTGACCTGGGGCTTGAAGCCATGAACCATGACATCATGACCTGAGCCAAAATTAAGAGTTGGACACTTAACTGACTGAGCCACCCAGGTGCCCCACACATTTTTGTATAGCTCTTGATAATGCATAGAATATTTTCTCCATAATCCTTTATGACTCTTGTATTTTACACGAGTTATGTGTTTGAGCTCGGTCTCTTCATAACCTGTCTTTGATAATGAGGTGACCAGTAAGTAACTCAGTGGCCCATAAACAGGTAATGTTGAAGGATTCTTGGGGGAACTACAGAGTTACTCAAGCAATGGTAGCCTGAGAGAAATTGAATGCTCTCCTGTGTTTTCTGACAAATTTAACTGTCGAGAATCTTCAAGTTGGAAGGGATGTTATCTAGCTGTTGTCAGATTGGTTTACTGCTTTCAGCATCCTCTATCATATGGCCAATAGTCTCTCCATAAAGACCTCTAAGGATGATGAGCACACTACCTACTGATTTTGGGTGAATGACAGAAAGTAGTTAGCTGGTTATAATGTGTAATACTTGTTTGGCCACTTGACCTTATGGTTATTTTATGACTCCATCAGACTCCCAAGAGTAGAAATACAGGCAATTTGGAGTCAGCAAACATTTTATTAAATTTTGTGGCCTTGAGCTCTGGCCACACTTAGAAATACTGGAACTACTTTAGGTCTAAGGTGACACCAGAATTAAAGCATTCATACTTAAAATAGAAAGTCACATAATGAGGAAATGTAAGCCATAGTGTGGATGAGAAAAAGCTATTTTTGCCTCAAGATGAAGGGAGCACTAATCCCATTTGGGTTTATTTACATTTGACCAAATGGAAAGGTCCTGAACTGCTATAGAACTGTTCAATTATTTTACTGTGTGGCTTGTGGAGAAACAGAACTACATATTCCTGTAAGAGCTGTTTTCCTAGTTGCCAAAAAGTGAATCAAGCCTGACTGAGATTCTCAACCACAACCAGTACAAATGTACCTTGAATCAGAAAGCCTAATGAAACAACAGGTTACTGACTTTTTGCATTATCTGTATTTGTACTATGCCAGATACTCAAAGCACATACCGACAAAAGATGCCTTTAAGAGTTATGATTAGCATTATGACATAATGTAGCTGAAATTATGTGCCACCTCCAGCAGTCAAGAGAAGACGAGTCTGTGGGCTGGTCTTGGGGAGGACAGGAATTGGGCCCTGATGAATGCATGAACGGATTAGATTTAGGTAAATTAACCTAGGGCATTTTGGGTGGCTTCCAAGAACATTGTCCCTCAGCCTGCTACAGAGTCATTCCTCTGCCCTGGGAGAGCCGTCAGTTTATCTGGTTAGTATCTAACAGCAGAGTTGATTTTTAAAGCAGTAATTTTAGCATGATGCAGAAGGTTTAGATGACTAAAAACAGATACCTGAGGGTGAAGTGGAGAAGTGGAATTTGTCCAATTTTTGTCTGCTTCTTGTTCCATTAAGAGTTTGAGGAACTATCAATCAGAAACACTTTCAAGTTAAGGACAAGTAGTAAGGCATTTCACTACTTCCTTTGCCAGTAAGAAAATGTAGCATAACTGAGGAAAACTGACTTTATATTCAATATGAAAGGTTTGCATTGGAATTAATGATTATATTTAAACATATTTTCCAGAAGTCTAAATTGATTAGAATTCAAGTGTAACTGGTTTAGCCGGTATTTGAAATTTAATCTCTTAAATGTCTGGCAAACTAATTCTAGGTAAGAATTACCTGTTAGCTTCAGTTTTGTCATCTTCAAATGAGAATAATAGTACCTACTTTATAGGATTCCTCTGAGGACTAAATGAAATAAATTATGTAAACTACTTAGAATAGTGCCTGATAATTGAATTACCAGGTGAGTGTCAGCTGTTATTTTGAACTGTAGATAAGAATCATCTTATTGGGAAAATATTTGCATGTGCTAGTATAAAACTATGTGTAGAGCTATGTAAGTGGGGAGGTGATAGCATTGTATACATTTCCTATTTTCAGGGGACATTGGTCTAGGAATCGAGTACAGATGTTATTTTCTCAACTCTATAGAAATAAAACTTTTAAAGGAATAGAAATCTTGACGTTTCTAACAGTTTAAAAAACACCGTGTAAAACATTTATGGGGCCCATAGGTGGCTCCGTCTGTTGAGCATGTGACTTCGGCTGAGGTCATGATCTTGAGTTTTGTGAGTTCGAGCCCTGCCTAGAGCTGTCTACTGTCAGTGTGGAGCCCACTTGGGATCCTCTGCCCTCCCCTCTCTGCCCCTCCCTGCCCCTCCCACACTCATACTCTCTCTCTCTCTCTCTCTCTCTCAAAAATAAATATTAAAAAAACGACAATAACATCTTTAGGGGCACCTGGGGGGGGCTCAGTAGGTTCAGCGACCAGCTCTTGGTTTCGGCTCAGGTCATGATCTCATGGTTCTCGAATTCAAGCTCCACATCTGGCTGACAGCTCAGAACCTGACAGCTCAGAGCCTACCTGGGATTCTCTCTCTCTCCCTCTTTCTCTGTGCCTTCCCCATTCACTCTGTCTCTCAAAATAAATCAACAACAAAGTACTGACTTAAAAAAAAAAAACTTTAAACCATTTTGTGTTGGGGGGTACCTGGCTGGCTCAGTCTGTAGACCATCTGGCTATTGATCTTGGGGTTGTGAGTTTGAGCCCCACGTTGGGTATAGAGATCACTTAAATAAATAAAGCTTTATAAAATAAATAAAAATTAAAGAAGAATAAAGCATTTTGTGTTGTCATAAAACATTTGCTATATATTTTTTTGTTCTGTTACCTTCTTTCACAGTTCCACATTTTCATAAATTAAAACTCAGTTGAATAAAACTTGTCATGGGGGAAGTCACAAGGGTTTTGGGAGTTTCTGTAATCTGCACACTTAGTTCTTTTAACTGTAGCAATAAACTGGCTGTGGATTGCTTAAAACCATCTTTTAAAAATAGCCACTTATCTGTGAGAAACAATTCATACCAATGGAGTAGTAATGAATGCACATTAATTAATTTTAGGGAGAGAGAGAGAGAGAGCAAGTGCATGCGCTCAAGCAAGGGAGAGGGTCAGAGGTAGAGAAAGAGGATCTTAAGCAGATTCCATGCTCAGTGTGGAGCCAGATGTGGGGCTCAACCTCAACTGAAATCAAGAGTTGGACACTTAACTGATTGAGCCACCCAGGCACCCCACAGTCATTTTAGTCTCTAGTTCCAGTATGTGTCATGTGGTATGGGGAAGGTGTGGAGGCTGGTGAGGTTTTCTTTGTTTGAAAAGGTGTACTGGTAGGTTTTTCTGTATGGACAAAGAACACAGCATAACAAAGGCAATTGCTTGAGAATAATTTCCTGGGCTAGAATCTAAGTGAAAATTCAACTTCATGCCGTTGCCATCTAAGGATGCAAGACCTCTTCATGGCCCTCACCTGCCAAGCCTTGTCGCCTGAAGGTGCTATCTTCTGGTTCCTATTGAAATTGAAATGCACATATAACTAACACTTTTAGCTGGTTTGAGGTTCAGTAATTTGTAAAGCTCTGTATTTGCCCCAACCAACTTAAACAGTAGTGTAATGAACATCCATATACCTTCCACCTCAATTCAACAGTAACATTAAATAAATAAATAAATAAATAAATAAATAAGTATAAATAAATGTATATGTATATACATATATATGTATTCATGGGGGTTTTTTTGTGGGTTTTCTTTTTTTGTTTGTTTGGGGTTTTTTTGGTGAACGATTTGAAAGGCAGATATTACTCCTCACTGCTAAATATTTCTGCATGCATCTCCTGAGGTTAGGGATTTTTTTTCCTATGTAACCTCAGTACTATATCATACCTAAGAAAAATTGACTACAATTTTATCATATTATCTACCATTTACTCCATATTCAAATTTCCCCAATTATAAGGTAGAGGTTTTTGTTTTGTTTTTTTAATGCCTTTTAAGTCTCTTGTAATCTTCAGGTTCCCTTAGAGAGTAGGCCACCTCTTGAAGTCCTCTGGTCAGGGGAAATGGAAAGTGTTGGAGTGTGGAGTGTTCAGAAGGAATGGTTGGAGTTCAGACTTAAACTTCTCAATCTTTCATCTGGAGTTACCTTTAGTTGCACTAGAATGCTTTACCTAGGTTATCAGTCTGTTCTTCTGCATTACAATTTAGGATAAAGGCAAGGGAAAAATACTTTCCTTATTCCCTTTTCATTTTATTCTTCCCTCTGTCTCCTGCCTAGTGCTTGGCCTTGTCTCTGAAATGCCTTCCTCCTTTAAGCATGAGGCAGCGATGATAGACAGGTTTGTAGTCAGGAAGATTGGCAGGGTCTTTCAAGTAATTTTTCAACAACATAAAATGATTAATGCCCATTAGTAGAGAAAAATACAGCTTCATTCAAGACATGACCATGTACACAGCCTTTTCTGAGAGATCAACTCCAGAGACTTCCTTTGGGTTACCAAGAATTGGTGCAGATTTGGGGCACCTGTCCTATTAGCCTAGTGCCTTCTGTTGAAAATAGTTTCCTGGAAACTTGTCATGCCTTCGTTTGTGGCAGTTCCAATTCCTTTCTGCTTCTTGAAGTTGCTCTGAGCTCTCCACCTTGGAGATTGCTTTATATTCTGTGTCATGGTGTATTTAGCACCTAAATTAAAGCTTGCTATCTCCCCCCCGCCCCACCTCCTCTCTCTTCACCTCCTCCTCCTCCTCTTCCTTGTTCTTCTCCTTCTTCTTCTTGTTAATAAACATTACTTCTGAAGTTTAGGAGACAGATTGTGATCTGACCATACTGAGTTATGTTAGAAGTTGATATTTGGCTGTTCATTTCTCCACTGATTTCTATACAGATACATTTCTCCTGGAAGGTAACAGTTTTATGGTAGACGAAAATTCATGAAATGTTCCATATTTTTAAGGAAACCAGCCATAAGCTGATCTTTTTTTCTGAAATATGGGATGTAATACCATACCAAAATTTACTAAGGGAATTTTCAATATTACACTTTTCTTTTTTTTTTAGTGTTTGTTTATATTTGAGAGAAAGAGAAACAGAATGTGAGCAAAAGAGGGGGAGAGAGAGAAAGACACAGAATCTGAAGCAGACTTCAGGCTCTGAGCTGTCAGCACAGAGCTCTACTCGGGGCTCAAACCCATGAACTATGAGATCATGACCTGGGCCGAAGTCAGATGCTTAAACCGACGTCGCAACCCATGTGCCCCTCAAAATCCTACTTTAAAAGGTTTCACTGCTCAGTTCTTTGAGATGATCTATGTTGGAAAGATGTCTGATAGCTCATTTGTTAGGTGAAGGAGTTAGACTAGATGACAACATTACTGCCAGTTTTAAAATTGTGTTAATAGCTATACATACTTACATATACATACATGGAATTTCAAAAAGGATTTACAAAAAATTGGTAATAGTGTTTGCTTCTGACAAGGAAGACTGGGGAACTTGGTTGTGAGAACGGAGACTTTTCATTGTGTACACTTTTATACTATTTCCATTTTTATGCTAATGTGTGCGGATTATTTTCTCAAATTAAAAAAAGGGGTACTTGGCTGGCTCAGTCTGAATAGCATATGACTCTTGATCTTGGGATTGTGAGTTTGAGACACACGTTGGGTGTAGAGATTACTCAAAAATAAAATCTTAAAAAAAAAAAACTAGTACAAAAAGAAATACAATTGAATATTTTCCTTGTTTAAGGAAAGTAGTCTGAAATATATAGTACTCTAAGTACTAAAAACTGATCCAGTGGACTAGATATTCTGCAGTTCTTAAAAAGGACTCTAAAGCAATATGGAAAAATTGAGTTAATAAATGAAAAGTTATTACAACTAGTAAAGTGTACAAGTGGCTGATATTAGATGGTATATAAAGAAATGAAAACAGTGGTGTTGGGATTGTGAACAAGTTTTGTTCTTTAAAAAATCTTTGAGGAAAGTTAGTCATTCTTCAACTGACTTGTTTTTGTTAAACTTAAAGGGAACTTCAGTTCCAGAGCAACCTCTGAGGCCCGCGGCCAGAGCCCGGGTAAACAGGTCAGGTTCCTGAAGAAAATGCCTATGGCTGCCAGAGTCAGGAGAGAGGTAGAGATGAATTAGTGCAGCAGCAATACTGTACTTTCAGGTTCACGACGTGAGGATGATGATGATAGTGCTTAACCTGGAGTGCTTACCTTGTGCCAGACACTTTGCCAAACACTTTCCTCTCCGGGATGAGGTTAGTTCTCCTGACAGCCCCTTTTGCTCGCCCCTCACTGGCGGACAGTGGTGCCACGAACGGAGTCAGGGTGTCAGCCTGGCCCCCACCAGAAAGCACCGGCTGGCAGGAGGTCCACAGCCGCTTCCTCAGTGCTTGGACCTCTGCTGGCCCTGCGCTGGCTGGGGTTGATTCTCTTTTTCTGCTCTCTAGAGAGCTATTACCCGAGAGCCCAGTTTGGGTGAAACCTGATGCTGAAGAATTCAAGCTGCCCCTAGTGTGTCCTCTCATCCTAGCTCTAGGCCACTCATTTCCTGCTTCTCCCGCTGTGCCCCGGTTTGCTTTGTCCCATTGTTCCTAAAACTGCAAGCAGATTTTGTTGAGCTGGGGGGAGGAGGACTACTATCAGAACTCCTCCAGTCACCCCTTTAAACCCCTGAAAGCACAACCTAGGACAAAGTCCACACTTGCCACACCCTTTTTGGCTCTTTTCTTTTCTCCTTTGATAACTCTTACCTATTTTTCCCCTGCTACCTCCAATCAACCAGGAAACAAAACTATTTCCCAGAAATTCCTATTGGCATTTTCAAATTCTTACTGTGTACCTGCAGTTATTACTTCATTTTAATTGCCAGCTCGTGCTTGAGGTAAAAAATGACGAGCACAATAGCTTCCTTGTAGATGTCGTATGATGATAAGCTGAACTTTTTACAGATTGCCTAATTTGCTTTCTCAGAGCCCATTCCTTTACTGGAAACTCAGTGGAGCTCTTGCAATCACAGAAAAGAGGCTGACCTGACCCTGTGGTCTTTTACCTAAATGTCAGTCCTGAGGGAAAAGAAAGCTGCTAATGCTTTGTGCAGGAGCAAACCAGATTTTAAAAATAGAATCTGCCCCAGGGTGCTCAGCTGGCTCAGTCTGTGGAGCATGCACCTCTTGATCATGGGTTGTGAGTTCAAGCCCCACACTGGGTATAAAGATTATTTAAAAATAAAATCGTTAATAAACTAAAACAAAAAAAATAAAAACAGAATCTGTCCCAGTCTTTAATTCAGTACAAATTACCGACCTGGCATTGCCAGCCCGAAACATCATACTGATTAATAGGTATGTGTTTTTAATCAAACCATGTGTTTTCATAGTCTCTGAGTCAGGTGAAAAGGTGAAAGTTTCACAATTTCTTTTTTGTTGTTGTTCTTTTTGTTTTATCTTAGAGAGAATCCCAAGTAGGCTCGGGGCTGTCAGCCCACAGCCCAATACAAGGCTTGATCCCACAACCATGAGATCATGACTTGAGCAGAAATCAACTGAGCCACCCAGGCACCCCACAGTTTCCTTTTAAACTAAATTTGGCTTTGTTTTGTTAAATCCTAACCACCTGACATTTAATATATAGTCCTAATGAAGACTAGGCTTCATTCCTGAGAGTCTATTTTGCTCTTGATTTATGTACTTTCTAACTCCATTCTTTTGTTAGCTTTTAAAATTCCTGTTTTGACACTAGAAATGAGTTACAGTTGAGACACATCCCCATTTACTCTCTTTGAAGTATATGGTGCACTAGAACCAGAAAGGCAGTTAGTTTCTGAAGGTCCACACTCGAGTTGAGTTTGAGTGGAGGGTGACTTCTCCAACTAAGACTAATTTTGTCTTCTTTAGTTTCCCACAGTCAGATCACCCGCCTCTACAGCCGATTCACCAGCTTGGACAAAGGAGAGAATGGGACTCTCAGGTAGGCAGTTCCGTCTGTATTTCCTCTTTATTTTTGGGCAATGTCTGAACAGGGCAGAGGTAATAGGCATCCAGAGTGCAGATAGGAGGGACAAGTTCTTCACTGTCTTTGGGCACCATCGATTCACAAGGGAGTTAAATAAGCAGAACAGTGGCTTTACATTTATCACTAGGTGCTTGTTGCTTTATTCTTAACTTCTGTTGGTTTGGGCAGCCAGGCTTCATGCTGCTCCTAGGAACCACCTAGGTGGTCTAGATTGTTTTGTCCTCTCTTCTCATTTCCCAATCCAACCCTATAACCCTAGGATACATCAGTTTATTTATATTAATGTTAGATAAGATGTTCAATGTTTCAGTCTAGAGCAGTGGTTCTCCGGGCTCCTGGGTGGCTCAGTTGGTCTGACTTCAGCTCAGGTCATGATCTCACAGTTCATGAGTTCGAGCCCCACATTGGGCTCTGTGCTGACAGCTCAGAGCCTGGAGCCTGCTTCACATTCTGTGTCCCGCTCTCTCTCTGCCCCTCCCCCACTCGCTCTTGTTTTGTCTCTCTCTCTCTCTCTCAAATGGATAAACATTTAAAAAAATACTTTTTAGAGCAGTGGTTCTCAGCTGAGGGTCTTTTGCCCCTGGGTGATAAAATGTCTAGAGACATTTTTGATTGTCATGACTAGGGCTTGCTGTTGACGTCTGGTGTATAGAGGCCAGAAATGCTGTTAAATGTCCTGCAACAGACATGATAGGCCCTCCCATGACAAAGAATTATTCTTCCTAAATATAAAACATGCCCAAGTTGAGAAACTCCTGTCTAGAGTTAAGTATATGATTTCAGAGTAATGTGGTGTTGTACCACTTCATATTTGTAATCATCTTATCATAGTCCAATGAAGTGTCTTGGTACCATTAGCCCCCAACCTAACTCTCAATAGCAAGCATAGCTTTGACTAACCAAAAGCTAGTAGCTTTTCTAGTGGCTGACAGTAAGCAAGAAGTAGTTTGAGACTTCTTTGGAAGACTTCTAGCACAACTGTGGGATGTAGTATAAATGGGGAAGAAATATAGTTGTTAAGCCTTTGTACATAATCCTTGGACAGAATAGCTAGAGAATTGTGATAAATCCATAGAGATGTGTTTGTGTAGGGCCAAATCGCTAGAAGCTGGGATTGACTCAAATCATGCTTTTTAGTCATTAAAGTCAGCAACTATGGAATATCTACCATGTGCAAAGACCACACTGGGTGCTTTTTCTTCTTCTTTTTTTTTTTTTTATTGAGGCAAATACACATAATATAAAATTTACCATTTTAATGTGCACAATTCAGTGGCCTTAACTGGATTCATAATGTTGTATAACCATTACTACTATCTAGTTCCAGAACATTTTCATCACCTCAGATGGAAACCTTACACCCATTAAGCACTCACTTTTTTTTTCTTTTTAATATTTTTTAATGCTTGTTTATTTTTGAAAGAGAGAGACAAGGGCAAGCTGGGGAGAGGCAGTGAGAGAGAGAGACACAGAATCTGAAGCAGGCTCCAGGCTCTGAGCTGTCAGCACAGAGCCCGATGCAGAGCTTGAACCCATGAACCACGAGATCATGGCCTGAGCCAAAGTCAGATGCTTAACTGAGTGAGCCACTTAGGCACCCCTAATCTGTCACTCTCTATTCCAGGGACAACCACTAATCTATTGTTTTCTCTGTAGACATTTCATATAAATGGAATCATACAATATGTGGCTTTCTGTGACTGGCTTCTTTCATTTAACATGGTGTTTTCAAGGTTAAATAATACAGCATGTATTGATATTTCATTTCTTTTTATGGCTGAGTAATATTCCATTATATGCATATGTTACATTTTGTTTATCCGTTGATACGTTGATGGACATTTAGGTTTTTCACACATTTTGACTGTTATGAATAGTGCTACTGTGAACATTTTGTGTGAATATATATTTTAATTCTCATAGGGTTTACAGCTAGGAGTAATATTGAAGGTCATATACTAATTTTGTGCTTAATTTATTGAAGAACACCAAATTGTTTTCCACAGAGGCTGCACTGTTTTACATTCCTACCTGCAATGTATTGAGTGTTCAAACTTCTCTACATCCTCACCAACACTTACTATCTGTCTTTTAATTCTAGCGATCCTTGTGGGTATGAATGATTTATCATTGTGGTTTTGATTTGCATTTCCCTGCTGGCTATTGATAAGGAGCATCTTTTCATGGTTGACCTTTTTTGTTTTTTAATTAATTAATTAATTAATT